ATTCCTAATTTCAGAGGTGATCTGGTACAAGAGTAAAAGAAACTCAGCAGAGCTGGTTTGCCCTAGGATGTTCTATTTCATGCTAACTTAGGCAGCAAAGAACCTTCTTCCCATTCCTAACTCCAGTCAGGAGGGAGGATCCACCGAGGCTGATGAACCACTCACCAACACTTAAACACCAGTGGATTTGGTGTTTAAGAAACAACTTGAAGACAGGTATTTTGTGGTGGGGAGCTGGCTGTTTGCAAAAATTTCCACTATTGGCACATCAAGGTGGTGTTATTTGGCTGGGGAGAGTGACTGCTCCAGCAAGAAATATCAGCCAATTCCTCACCTCCACTGCTGCAACCCAGCATGGCTGTACCCTTGCCATATCCTTGTTTGTCCCCCAGGACCTGGGTGGAGCTATCAAACCACTTCCCACAGACTAACCAAAAAGCTGAGTAACACCATCTAATCCCCTAAATTATCAGATTATATCTGTTGACATGGGAGTAGAATGCCAGTGCTTTCACCTTTGGTCAGCCAGCACCTCTCAGGTGACCGCCCCAAAAGAATGCAGAACCATTTACCCTCACAACCATGTCCTATCCTGAGCCAGACAGCTCTAGCAAAAGCAGCACTGTGCACTTGCTTCATCCATAAACTGCTGGAATTTGCATTCTGGTTGTGAGATTACAGGGGGGAAAATCCTGCGAACAGCTGCTTTTGCTTTTTGATCTCTTGCTAGTTTTACAGTACTTTCATCTATGTGAAAACAGAGAGAAGGATTCAGTACCTTTCTTCTTAAAACGTTATTTCCATTCCCTTCTTGGTTCTTTGTTCCTGACACCACGTGACCAAAAACCAAGAGGAATAAGTATCTCTTCCATACCAGTGAGGAATCTGCTCACTTCCAGTTTGTACAAATAAAGGATTCAGAGATTCTTCTATGAAACATGGTAGCCAAAACACTTCTGTTTAGAGCGGTGGCTCAACCAACATTATGCAATCTCTTGCCTCTGCTCAAGGAGAGCGAGGTTTCCGCTAAGGAGTGCTGTCCTGCCAGCTGCAGCCATCCTCATCCAAGCTGAGCCAGGCCTGGAACTGCTCCATCACAAGCTTCCTGAGACACATGGGTGATGCTGCAATTGCACCTGCCTCTGAATACGCAGCTCATACAGAGTGGGCCCTGAAATTCCCTCAAGGACAAAGTCCACAGAAGCAAGGGCCCTTCTCATCTGGGGCAGGCAGGTCACAGACCAGCAGTGGGAAAATGAAGGACCAACTTCTGGTTCTTCCAAGACAAATTTCTCAGGTAAGTCATCTCACCTGACTGCAGCCACCTGCAAACTGAGTCACAGTCACAGGGAGGCAGGCAGAGACACTGTGATGCATGAACCCTTGTGTGCCCGCAGGGGCCCTGCCAGAGCCTATCCCAGGCACAAAGGGGCTGGAAGGGATCAATGGGGGATGCAATGCTGCTGCTGCTTTCCTCTACCTGCAGAGACCAGACCCTGACACCAGCTTATTCTCGTTGTGCCCTAGTGTGTATGGCTGAGTGAAGGATAGTCTGACAGAGCTACGGAAAACTTGCTCACATTTTCAGCTCTTAGGGCTCAGTAGTTTTGACACACCCATCTTCTTCTTCATGACAGCACCTTTCTCCCCCTGCCCCCACCCCTTTGGAAAGATCCAAAGTAGACCGCTGTTAATAGCTGAGGTCTTTATTTTAAGTTTTTTATATACAGTAAAAGTGCCACAGATAAATCTGCGACAATCAGACAAGACAAATGTAAATCTCTCTCAACAATTAGCAGCTTAAGATCTATAAACTACAGTGTTACGTTCACAAGTGTCATTTCTGTACTTTTCAACCCGTGCAAGTGAGTTTTTCTGTTTATTTTTTTACACTTTTAAAACACACTTACAGCTAAGTCAATTGCCTACAACTATACCACCTGGCATACACAACACAGACACACAGGGTTTGTAACTCTTTAGCCACTTTCAGAATTCACTTAAAGACTGGCAAAACTACCCAAACTTGAACCCTTTGTAGCTTGGCTTCTTTTGTTATAATGTATTTTCTTGACAGTGCTTTCCAGTCCCAGTGTAACATGCACATAAATCAATTCATCTGATCCCACCTAAGCACGCATGGGATTGGAATAAACCAATAGAGTAACGACTGGGAGCATGCTGAGTATCATTGAACTCAACTAATGAGGCTGAGAGGAAAAAAAAAACTTTCATAAAATTTTTTAAAGTAATTTTTTTTGCAACAAGATTTTCTTTGTTCTTTCTATTGAAGGAAATCGGGGAAACAGATGAACTTCACTTGAACCCTCAAATATTAATGAGGAGGTGCTGCTCTTGGAACTTCCACAGTCCATTATATTTTTCAGTTTTCATGAGCCAAGGCAGTATGTGCTAAACACATCTAAGCAATTTATGAATCACTTCAACTCCAAATATAAAATGTTTTGGGAAACATTCTGCAAATCAGAGATGGTCACTAAAAAGTTTGTGTCTACAAAGGAGGCTGTTAAAGGTACTCACACACACAGTCACATCCACAGCAGAAACTGTCCTCTACACATCATCCAGAAACACTCCATCAGGAAAGCAAAAACAACCATGTACAAGGAAAGGGAGCTTTAAAGCTAGAATCACATTTCCAACAACATCATCATTAAGCTATCAGAAATCATCACAGACTTTCAAATTGAAAAGAGATGAAAACCCCAAAACGTTCTGCTAGTGCAAAAGGCAAAACACATGGCAGTTGTGTTAGGATATGAGAAGTGGATGCAGCATCATACATGACGTTACTGCAGACAACTTTCTGGAATGGAAGAACCTGTTGAGAGAGAAAGAGACAGACACTTTGTCCAGACCCATATGTACATGGCCTTCACCAAAGAGTTCCGAGATGTCTATTGAGCCTGCACCTTCTGGCAAGCTAGCAAATGGTATTTACCAAGTATGACAGAGTTGAGACAATAAATGAAATTAAGATATAAAGAAGAGGGACAAACACTTCCTTAAATACTACAGACACTGAGTGTCCAGAGCCACTGGCTTTTAACTCCTTCCTGACTTGACCACATAAAAACCTACCTTAAGCAATTCTAGTGTGAACGATACTCAGGAAAAGAGGTACAAAGGCCAGGTTTCAGAAAAAAAGACAACAAAGCATTTCAGTTATGTGCCAAATCAGTTCTTACTGTTATTCATACATTTGTTTCTGACAAAACCTGCATAATGGGAACCTGATAGTTAACCAAGGAATGTGAGTCACTAGAGAAGAGCCTTGCTGGAGCCAGGAGCAAGGGAGGGAATGGCTGCACACCTCTACTCTGGCTGTGGCACTGCAGAGAGCACAAGCAGTTTTTGGCTTGAGTCAGCTGCAAATGGCAATCTGTGTTTTAATTAGGACAGGAGCAGATTAGTGCACATGGTGACAGTGAGGTGTACTGGGATCCCTGGGGGAAGGGCACTGAGTTTCCTGTGACTACAGAAGAAAAGAACCCTTGGAGGAAGAAATATTGGACAGTGGAGGGCTTGCATTTGCTGGCAATCAGAAAACACTCAAGGTATTAACCTTGTCTGGGGACTTTCTCAGAACCCAGAATCTGCATCATAGCACAATGCCTGTGTGTGAGTATATATCCACTGTACATGTCTCATACATGCCTATGTATGATTTCATAGTTTAGGTCACTTGGGCAACATCTGATTACTAGAAGGAAGTTGATCCTGGAAGGAAAGAAAACAGTAAGACCTAACTAAACACCATAAATGGTTTTGGCAGAATGCTAGAGGGTTTTTAGATTTCATGGAGACAAAGGATGAATCTTGGCACTGTTATGGTTAAAGGGACAGCAGTTAAAAACCAGCACAGAATGAATGCAGATTGCCTGGACTTGAGGGCTGCCTGCCTGTACCAACAGGTCACCAGCAATGGCACATTGTGAGGACTTGGAGTTACATTTGAAGCTGACATTTCCTTTAGAGATTTGCAAAGGTGTCTGCTGGCCCCTGTGGCTGAAAAAGAGGATGACACACCACAGACATACAAATAATCTTACCAGACCCTGACAGAAGGAAAACTTTGGTTTCATTTTTCATGTTTTTTCATTTTCAATTCGAACTATTTTTGAGATAACCATTCTGTTAAGTGGACTGTTGAGTTACTATTTCTTTCCTCAAAAGAACCTGTCTTTTCCCTAGGAAGAGATGAACAGAAATTCCTTGCTCTTATCCTTAGGCCAGGAATGAGAGATGACATGCAAACAAAAAATATAAACATACAATTGTTCACATGTGGAAAAAGAAAAAAAAGCCCTGCATGATGAAAAGGCGTGGAGAAGACAGATGTTTTCCATGATGCTGCATCTTTATGCTCAGGAGGACAGACAAATGGCATATGGACAGTGCTGCGTTCTACAGGCTGACACTGGAAACTATTCTCTGCCCTCCTCAGAACTGCTTCAGGACAAGACGGCTCACAATTATTCACGCATTTCTTCATTTAAAAACATCACTTCTTTATTTGAAAGAAAAAAAAGTAATGACCCTCCCAACCCCTTCCAAAAAAAAGCCCCAATAATAATAATAATTATAATAATAATAAAAAATCCTATTAGAAACAATAAGGAAGCACTGAGAGTTTGAGTATTACACTCTTCAAGTATGCTGTTCGGATTTTTTTTTAAATCTGTGAATATACATATATTAAAAAAACCTTAAAAGTGCGACCAAGGGCTTCTGCTTAAAGATAAGTATTTCAAGGACAACTTCAAAATACTGTAGCATGACTGTGCAGTTACTGTGTATGGCATGAGGCTTCCACTCCATACACTCAGACAAGTTAGCCAGCCTTACAGAAAGTTACTGAAGTCAGGTTAGCACAAATGGCAAACCCAGGTGCTGAGCTGGGAGAGGGATCCACACGTTGTCGATTTTCTCTTGTTAAGGAAAGAAACCACTCAACGCATACACTCGGACACGGAATGTGGGCAGACTTCACAGTAAAAGTTTAGTGTTTCAGGTTTGCTGTGGTACCATCATTCAAGGCTGTGCACTAGACTGAGCTTTGCTCATCTTAAGCTAACCACATTCTCTTCTTCCTGACAGGTTTAGTACAGTAGTTCAAGCCACAATTTAAATTGCCCATTGGTATGCTCCAAATTTCTGTATTTTATTAATTTCTTTTATACACTTTAAAGAATCTTAAGATTTGCATCCAAAGAGAACCATGCTACATAAAAATTATCCAGGATTCTCACCAAAAGAGTTCTTGAATAAAATCTAAAAAATACTATTGCAATGCATCTTGCAGAGAAAAAACGTTATTCTAAATGTAAACAAATTCACTCGGACACTTTAAAACTTCAGCGGAGTAGTTGCTGACTAATCTTTGCCACACTTGCTCACCAAGAGCGCGAGGAGGGAGCGGCACAGCCCATTCCTGCCACCATCATCTGGGGGGAGACAAGAATCGTTCCAAGTAGCCGGTGATGGCATCCCAGTGCTTCCACAAAAAGGCAATGAAAACCACTATAAATAAAGTGCTGAACGTCCTATTGCGAGTCTTCATCAGGGGCACGACGCAGTTGGCCACAGTGGAGACAAAAACGAGGAGGACAGCCATGACAGCCAGCAAAATGTTGATGAACTTCCCCAGTAGGTTCCTGGCCGTGGCATTCTCCAGCCCCTCCAACTGCACCACTTGCTGCTGCTGCTGCTGCAGCTCCATCTTGGAGATGCGCGTCTGGCACGCTTCCAGTGCCTCCTGTGGACAAGAGCACATAGTGGGTCACTCAAGCTCACAGCTGTTACCTCACCAACCAGGCCAAGCCATGACCACCATCCCCACACCTCACACTGCTCATGCACCAAGCTCCCACCCTGCAGCAGGAGCAGGGGAAGCAGTGCCATTTCCCATATCTGAGGTGAGAAACCCCTGACTGGACAGCCCCTGACTGCAGCCTGCAATACACCATGGGACCTCAACCACATCCAGAAGGTTTGACATGGAGATGCCAGGCTGGGAAACCCCACAGCTTCTGCCCAGAAGAGGGGGCCAGCCACCTGTTCATTTCAGGCTCCAAGAGGCCTCTCAGAGCACAAAAGTGCTGTGCCTAGCCAGAAATCTTCATCCTCTTCTGGGATGTGCATTCCCAGAACCTCAACTTCCATCACCTTCCTTGCAGTCACTTGTGCTTTTCTGACCCCTTTGCAGAAAACCATGTCAACAAAAATAACTACTAGAGGCTCAGCTGCATTCTGCTTGCTTAGTGAGCTCTGAGCTCAAGGAAAGGTCTGAGGGGCACTAGGGCTGGGATTACACAGCTGCCATTGCAGGAAGATCTTCTCCAGACTGCACCAAGCTGCAAGCTGTAGCACTGGTACAGCTCCAGCTAACTCTGTGTGTGAGGGCTGGGGAAAGACATCTAGAAGGGTAAGAACCATGAGATTTATGGAACTGCCTGCAGGAAGAGGCAAAACAAAAGGAGGTGGAAGAAGCCTACCCTGCACAAATCCATCTCTCTAAAGCCCCACTGACACAGGAAGGATTTGTCAGGAGTTTTTCACCAGGTTGAAACCCAACTGGACCAACCCAACTTGCACTAAAACACTGGTGACATGCAGCACAGGGGGCTAGGGAAGAGAGAGGTTTTCAGGCAATTGACACCAAGAGGGACTTCTGCTCTTGAAGATACCAAGTTAAAATATTTCTGCTAATCTTCCCTTTTCCAGACACACAGGCCAACTGCAAATATGATATACAAGTCTGCAGCAGTCCTTCCCAGACTGATCACCAAAAAAGAAACCAGGACTGTTCCTCTGCAACATCAGCTCATGCCCTTAGTTTTTCATACAACAAAACTTAACACTTCCCTTTCCCCAGCAGTGATGAGAAATAGGCTGCCCCAACTTTTAAGTTGACACTAAAAACACTGAATCATAAAATGAAGATTAAAAAAAGCTGTCGAGAAATCCCCACTTCAGTCTTCCTGCCATCTGAATTTAGTGAGGAGAACAAAACCTGACTGTTGTAGCACTTCCCCAAGGGAGAGCCTCCTGTTTACACTGCCAGGGGCCATTGTACCACTGTCCACAGGCACTGATTAAATTTAACTTAAAGGTCATGGTCACCTGTTACATTTCTCATTGCATAATGTCTGTGGGGGTCAGTGAAACATGAGGGCTTCTTCTTGGTTAAGACCCCTGAAAGCACAGGGCAGAATTGTTGTCCCAAACAGCAGTGACCAGGAGAAACATTTGACAACAGGAGCTGCAGCTGGTGTGTGAACAGCACAGCTGAAGAGGAAATCACCTGGCTGAAATGCCTCAGCAGGAAAAAGGTAGAACTCAACCTACAACTCTCTGCTCACACTACAAATTATTCCCATCAGCAATCAGAACTGAGATAAAACTACCACAGCAAGTACTTAAAATGGTCCAAGAGACTCATTTCTGAATAGGTCCTTCTGTAAGGGTCAGCAGCTGTTTTGCTTTGTAGAAGGGTCTCCAACTTCAAGACCTCTGTTTCGTAGCCTTTTTTACATACTAAAGGAAACTTTTATTTTAGAAACACCTTATTTCTTCAAAGCCGACAGAAAGAATTATTTCCTGACTCAATGCAGTACACACACAAAGCCATTTTTCCTTAGATGTATGTGACCATTGTTGTAAAATTAGTGACACAGAACCACACCCCAGGGCCCATGTACTGGGAGCACTAAAAGAAGTGTTTGGGTCATGGCCCATTGAGTGTCTAACAGAAAGGCCTGCACAAAGAGTGGGTTCTGGGTCCTGCTCTGCTCCAGCTGAGCAGCAGGTTCCCTCTGTGTGAAGCACCGCCCTGCTTTACAGAGGAGGTTACCTGGAGAGATACCCACAGGTCAGAGATGGAATAAGGACCTTTTGGAATGCAGCAGTTTAGCAATAAAGCTACAAGGATTGAAATCAAATATTGAAGCGCAGGCATACTTCAAAAGTGAATGAGTTCCTGGAAGAGCAGGCAGAGGGCACAACTTGGGTCCTTGCTTCTGTCACCCACCTGGATGTCCCGGGCTCGCTCGTAAGACTGATAGGCAATCTTTTCCTCCATGCTGGCCAGCTCCTGTTTTAAATTGAGGATCTCGTTCTGGTGGAGCTCAGTCAGGTCATTTAACTGCTCTTCAAGTCTTTCACATCTACAAATGACAACACATGGTACAATGGCTTTAATGAGAAGAGGATGGCAAAATGACACCAGTGACAACCAAGCAGTGAAGACCATGGCCTGTGCACTGAAACCAGCATGGCTGCATCAGTCAGCACACAGCACACTCCGGCACTAATGCCCTCCTGCTGGGAGTTAGTTCTTTCTACCAGGTAAACTCTGTGATACTGTTCTGTATCTGGAGAAAACACACAGTTACATGGTAACTGTTGAGTGATGCAAGAAATAAAGGACAGAATGAGGATAGAATGAGACTTTCACCAAACTTCTGTGTAAACCGAACAGCTCCCTTCTAATACCATAAACTCTTACGAATTTTCATCTACACTTGGAACAGCAATGGGTATAAAAATGACACGGAAATGACATGTGACTGATGCCTCAGAGAACATGCTATTACTGTCTGATCTCTGCGTGAGGTCACACGGATCTTTGATTTGTTTTTCCTTTATCTCCCATGAATGATGCAACTTAACAAGCAAATACCATCATATTATTTGTAAGAAGGACACATGAATCACTAACCTGCAGGCTTATTTTTCAGTTTGCTCTTGGTGAATGGACCAGAAGCAGTCCTGAGGAAGAGGGTTGCTCAAAAAACACGAGTTACAACAATTCTGAGAGATAAAGTTTTGCTTCTACCTAAGAGAGTCTTAAATTAACTGAAATGGTAGCTCTGATGGTAACAAAGGTATGGGCATGGCTGTGGGCTTTCTCCACTCTGATTTCCACTGTCTACTTATTGTAACAGATGGGAAAAGCACACAGCCCTTATCATCTGAATCTTGATACTAATAACCGAGACATTTCTAAGGAATTAACCACAGAGATAATTCCTTATTTAAATTTTGTTTTTCTTCTGACTCCACCTTAATTTAATTCCTACAAAAAACCCACAAGATGAATAAGAAATATTTATCTAGAATAAAGAACTTAATTGCAGGTTCTGAAACTAAGACACAAATCCTGCTTCTCATTTTTTTCAAGATTTTTTTTTGCTGTTTCAGAATTTGTAGTCAAAAGCTAGCCTTTAAAAACAGTCTCAGAGTTTTGTTTATATAGACAAGTATGAAAAGAATTTTTATTTATGCTCCCAATTCAATATTACTTTAAAGTAAGGAGGAATCACACACAGCATGACAATTTGCAGCCATAAAATGCATGTGGTCAACCAGCAGTGAGACCAAGACAGCTGCCAGCTGACATGGCTCAGCCCAGAAAGGGGCCAGGACACAGCAGAGAACTGGTTTCCCAAGACTGACAAAGGAATGGCCATGTAAAGACTGGCTAATGAAAAAGGAGCCCAGATAATTAATACTGCCCTTTGTTCCCACACAACTTAAAACTGACAACAACTTGCCAACAACCAAAAAATCACAACTAAGCCCACTCCAAGGGCAGCATCAATTCCTTGAAATATATTCCATTTGTTTCTGTATTACAAAATTCGCCAGTGTGTTTATTACACCAAAAGAAACTTAAGCATTTCTGAAAATAGCATGATTGTGCTTTTTAACCTCCTCTCACATAAATGCCTTTCATAAAGCAGTTGCTGTTGCCAAGCAGCTCAAATTGTATTCTCTAACAAGAAACAATTGTATTTTAATAACTTTAAAAATACCTCAATCTACAGGAAACATAAGGAAACCCTGCTAATCTGTATAGTTAAGAGTTTAAACAGAACATGATTAACAGAAGGGCTGGCTCCAATCTTCCTGCCCTGAAGACTGCAGAACAACCAGGTCGTTCCCAGCCCACACTTCACTCCCTGCTCAACCCCAGAACTGCTGCAGTTTGTATCCAAGAACCACCTGCACTTCCAGAACTCACTGTGTCAGGCAACTGCTAGAACTGGGTCATTTAAAAAAACACACCCCTGCCCCCACTAACCTACCCTGAATTATTTTTGAAATAACACATCCACCATTCAGCTTCTTTCCCACTTCTTGTCCCAATAGCTACAATTTAGAAAATTTATTTTTTCCAGCTGCTTTCTACTGGTGTCCAAATTTAAAAACCAAGGACAGCCTTATATGACTTACAGAACCAGGCTTTTCCTGTTGAAAGCTGGTTTGCATTTAAGTGGGAGTATTACAGAAATAAAAGGGATAGACTACCTGTCAAGAGGGTTAAGACAAAATACATCCATCTAACTCATGAATGCCAGGGTCTACTGAACAAACTAAACTTGTCTGTGAATATAGCAGTGTCCTGAATAATCAAATCCCACTTCACTTCATGTATGGAAAATGCCCCTTTGGAGTTCAGTAACTATTTTGTTACTGTTAAAATGTGAAATTTCTCCTTAAAAGAAAAAGCTCCAGCCCAGAAACTTCTCTGTGTGAATGCTGCCTGTCACAAGTATCATAGAGATCATCAGAGCTGTTCCTACGGACACAGTAAATAGATGGGGTGCTTGGCTTAATTGTGGGACATGGGAACACTTTATTTCAAATAGCTGTGCTGACTTCTCACATGTTTTCTGAGGCTCACCGCATGGGAATCAGGAAAGTGGTCTGAAAAAGGCTCAGATACACAATTATGACCATCTAATTTTTTTAAAAAGCTTTAAGGCATTTTAAAGTAATAGCTGTAAAATACACAGCTAACACAGCACATGGAAGGGAGGAATGTGATAAGAAAAGGCATTTGATCTGCACTCGGCACTATGCTGAGTAAAGAAACTGATCAAACTAATGCTACAAAGACATCTGCAGTAAACTGTGAATGAAGTTTAGTACCTGTCTTCAGATGTCTCTCAAGATGGACCTTTTACTTTTTATACCTATGTCATACAAACCTTCGTGTAATCTTTATTTGTCACTAAATACATCTTTATGCTATTGAACACACTTCCAGTAGTGGAGTGCACAGCTAAAACCAGTAGTTATTTGTAATATGCTCCAAAATCTTCTACCTAGAGGATACATGAAGGACAGAGCTGACTCCAGAGAGGAAGCACAAGCTGCTCATGATACCCGCACACATCCCTGTACTTCCAGCTCCAGCCTCCCTGGAGGAAGGACAGACAGCTTTGCAGGGATGTTTTGGTGCTGTCCTGGCTGGATGAGCACCAACTTGGCCCAACATGCTGCCTCCACTGCCCGGCTGCACTCCCAGACCTCAGAGGTTTAGCTCCTTTGGTCTATTTTAAAACACATCGTGAGGACAGACTGAAGTGTGACAATTAGACTACATCAAAACCCAGATAAATGGAAGTACCAGTGACTATACTTTTGGCTGAAGGATTTCTTCTGACAGCAGCATGGGAGACTTAAATGCCCTTTTCATGGCTGTCAGGCTTGGGAAGAAATCCAAAACCTTAGACTGGCCACACTCCAAATATGTGAGCTTATGATTTTACCATGTACAAACAGGTTCCTAAAGGGACAAGCAAGATGAAAACACTCAGCAGGAACTTTATTTCAGTCTCAGCACAGTAAGTCCCTGCTTGTATAAGTAAACAACTGCCACTTTCCAATGATGAGATAAGCAACAAGCCATTTCAGCATCTGCTCACGATGCATAAGAAAACAGTGATGGCCAAGTACCATCAGACTCTTCCTTCCTCGGTGGCTCAGCCCCAGTGGAGCAGAGCAGTGCAGAGCAGAGCAGAGCAGTGCAGAGCAGAGCAGAGCAGAGCAGAGCACAGCAGAGCAGAGCAGAGCAGAGCACAGCAGAGCAGAGCAGTGCACAGCACAGCAGAGCACAGCAGAGCAGAGCACAGCAGCGCACAGCAGAGCAGTGCAGAGCAGAGCAGAGCAGAGCAGTGCAGAGCACAGCAGAATAGAGCACAGCAGAGCAGTGCAGAGCAGTGCCGAGCAGTGCCGAGCAGTGCAGAGCACAGCACAGCAGAGCACAGCAGAGCACAGCAGAGCACAGCAGAGCAGAGCAGTGCAGAGCAGTGCAGAGCAGTGCAGAGCACAGCAGAATAGAGCACAGCAGAGCAGTGCAGAGCAGAGCAGTGCATAGCACAGCAGTGCTCCGGGCCAGCATGTGCTGGGCAACACAGCCCAGCCTGGCCTTGCCATGGTGCACTGGGGCAGGAGAACTGGAGCAACTGGACAGGTGAGTCCCTGCCTCAGAGATTAGGGTTAGCAAACCGGCAGCCACACGGAGTGATAGACAAGATTTGGAAAAGCAGGGAGAGGGGAGGGAGGAGATGAAGGAGGTCATGGAAAACCTGTGAGGCAAGCCATGGCTGATAAACAAAAACTGCATGAACACAAAGAGGGGAAAAGATCAGAACCTGCAAAACAGAAGATGATCTAAGAAAGAGGAAATGGACAAAGACCAGGTGAGAAAATGTCATGGCATGTTTTTTGTTTCAGCTTCCAGGTACAATGCAAACACTCAGTGTCACCTGACAAGCAAAAGGCTTCTCCAAAAACTTTTTTTTAAGCTCCAACTCAACTCTGTTTGTTTTTGAAAGCTTCCCATAAACTGAGCAGAGTTAGGAGGTATTTACAACTTTTAAAGCCAATTATGATTAATCTGAATCACCAGCCTACCAGCATCAAACCACAACCTCCTTTCCTTTCTTTTAGTTTTTTCCCAAAAAGAGCTGAGGAGCAAGAGGGGTTCCAGTTGGAGGAACAGGTGCCACCCCTCCTCTGCCCTTGGACATACCATGTCACCTTCCATTTCTAAGGTGATGTTGGCTTTTATCATTGTGAGGGTTCAAAATACAGAAGCTATAAAAACAAGAATCTACATTTGCACAGTCACGCAGTCACATCTAACCATGATTAACCGGTGAGCTCTTGCTGATCATGCAGTTACCCACATAGACAAGGGAACTGAGTGTGGTTTGACTGGTCCTCTTTAAAGGCCACACCTTTAATTAATTTGCATCAACATTCCAAATGACAGGTCTAAATTACTATCTTAAGCTTTTATAAGCCAAATGCAGATTTTCCCTGCTTTTCACTCTGCCTTGGTTAGCGCTTGGGGTCTGTGCTGACCTCAGGGGAGTGCTCTGCAAAGGTTAAGGGCACATGACAGATATGACTTCATGGTGTGCTAGTATGGGACCTACTTGAACCTTGCTCAGAGGTGCTGGGCAGTGACCAGCTCGTTTAGCTGACAGCACACATCGGTCCCCAAGGTCTGCTATTGTATTTTCAGGCCAATCCTTCATCTGTGCTGTGCTTGCATTTATAGCATTCCACTATGAATGGCTGCTGCTGTATGTGTGAAACAACAACCTACACAGCAACAGACAACAGCACCTCTCTGCTACAGAGCAGAAGACCCAGCTCCATGTTGCTTTGGGATGACTTGATGACACTGAGGCACTAGGAACCAAAGCTACTGTGCTGGTTGCTGGTTTCAGTCAAACTGATAGTTGCAAAGCAGGATTAGAGAGTGGTGTTGGTCTGGCTTTGTTTGCCCAGGCTCTGAAAAACATACCGAGAGCCTGCTCTCTCTACCAGATCCCAGCAGGCTAGCCTTTTCCAGAGTTTTCCAATGATTTGGCATCAGCACGTCTAAAGAGCTGTAGGGCAACTCCATGTTACACTGCACAAACCAGTGCAGCAAGTGGCACAGGGCACTTCAGCAAGCCTGTACACACCCCCAGCAGCTCCACTGTGCCTTTCAGGTTGTGTTTCACATCCTAGCAAAGTCATGAACACCATAAAGAACCTCATGACAACAGCCTGCTGTCCTTCACCAGAACAAGGGCTTGGGCCTTGCATTTGTCATTTAAAGTTTAAGAATCCTGTCTTGGATGCCTGCAGAAGGGCAGCTAGTAACTCTTCCCTTCAGAGCCTGGAGTCAAGTCCTTGCTCCCAGCATGTAAAGGGGGGGATGTCAGGTATTCTGCTGGACAGCATAGGGCAGTCTGCAGAGAGCCTCTCTCACCCAGCAAGGAAAGGGAAGTATTCCCTCAGTACCTCTCCATGGGCAGTTTTCCTCAGCAGAGAGGTGGGGGCAACCAGCCAGGCTGCCTTCCTGAAGCCACTGTCACCTCTCCCCTGTGAGTTCATCACGGGTCAGCAGTACTGCAGCAACTGCTCCACCTTCCCATTCTTTCCAGTGAGGGGAAGGCTGATGGAGTTACCTGCTTCCAGAGCCCTATAATCTCCATGACACCTAATTCAGCTTCATTTCACTGAGTGCTGCCACTGTGGGCTGAGCAGAGAAGGGAAGGGATATCTTAGTTTTCGCACACGGGCAAGACTGTGTCTTTTTAGAGACCCTGAAGAAAGCTGGAATGTTTCTTTCTCTGGTAGATATGGATCTGAGTTGAAGAAGGCAGGGTCAAATCATGACCACATTAGCTTCCTGTCATTTGCTTTGATCCAAACCTTAACTGTCTGATAAAGGTAATTTCATCAATGTACTCCTGGGTTTGGGACACCTTATTAGACCTCTTCAGCTTCACTTTTTATCTTGAAAATACTTTGAAATAACCTTTTTCCTTACAATCTCTTTCTTGTACAGAGAGGGAGGTGAGCAGCAAGATAGCAATATTTATAAAAGGCAGAACTGGGAGGGAAAAGTCCTGAGAAGACCACTATCCATTTGAATCAGGCTGTTGGGAAAAGCCTGCTGGGCACTACCATCCTCAACTCTGGTGCTCTGCAATCACAGCACTGGATTGTCAAATTAAGTACCACAGCACATACCTGTACCGCTCCTCCTGCAAGGTCTGCATTATCAACGTGTAATCCCTCTGGTAGCGAACCTTAAGGTCCTCAAATGATTCTTCCAGTCTTGCCTGTGTCTCTCGAATTTCTTGAATCTCATGCAGTACTGCATCAAACCCTGAGCTCTGCATATCCAGAGTGTTTGTTTTGGAGCTAGAAGCTCCCACAGGGCCCCCTGTTGTGCTGTTGGCTCCCACCGAGCCTGACGTGGCACTGGAACAATCCTCTTCACTGCCATATTTTGGGCTTGACTGAAAGTTCTGAATAACACCTAGAGCCTTGCCTCCTGTCCCATCTTCTTGGCCTTCTTCTAAGGAGTCTTTCAGATTAGCAATGTTGTCTGCACTCCCAAACTTGTTCCTTATGAGGGAGGCAATCTCCCTGGGTTTGGAAACCACAGCTCCTGCTGCTGAATGCGTAGCCTGGGAGAAACTGGAAAGCCCACCTTTTACACTGTCTACCACTCCCTCACTGAATCCAGTGACTTTTGCTCCAACATCTTTCAAACCCTGATGCATATCCCTGAAGACATCCTTTGGCTGCCGAGGGATCCCATTTTGTTCAATTTCTCTCAGCTTTCGATGATAATGTTCCAGTTTCTTCTGCAGCTGCAAGATGGTCTGGGCTGACTTTTGATTTTTCTTCTCAAACACTTGCTTGATGCGGGCACTCTGCTGCTTATCTGCATTGTTGGCCAATTTCAGGTACTCTGCCACGTTGTCATCACGGGCTGTTTGCTCAATTTTGATCTGCTCTGTCAGCTTCAGTATCTTCTGCTGCAGGTGTGTGATGGCCACTTTTGTCCGCTGCGGATCTGGGGTCCCATCAACAGAGTCTGCGTTGATGCTGCCATCAGTGCTGGAGGCCACGGCACTGGAGGTCTGTGCCAAGCTGCTAACTTCCAATCGCTCAATCTAAGCACAGAGGGAGAGAAACATGCTAATCAGCAGCTTCACCAACAGAAAGCTTTCCTTCTTTATACCAACCAACTGGGCAAATGGATATAATTCTGAAAAAATGTACATTTTTTCAGCTAGTCAGGGGACAGTATCAATCAAGAGAGCTTCACATATTTTACAGACATCCAGCAAAAGTTGAAAAAAAAGTAAAACCTCTCATATTTGACTCCACTTAATCACCTAAACCTGGCATGGCAACAATTCAAAACCCAGGCACAAATGTGCACCCCAGCTTGGCAGACCAAGCACTCCAAGACATCAGTACAAGGGCAGGGGCTCAACTAGCTAGAGAGTGAAGAGACTGATAAGGTAACTGAGAGCAGAACCCGCACGGTTTAACTGTACAGTACAGCACACCCGAGTCTTTCCTAGTGCTTCACCTGTTTGAACAGCAGCAACAGTGAACCTACAACCGATCTACTACAGTCAGCGCTTCTAACAGAAAAATGGAGCCTGAGAGGCACCCGAACGCTCTCCTTGCCATGGCAAACACTGCGAGCAGGTGTCTCCGAGTGGGAGGAAAATAGCGAGTTTCAAAGGACAACCTCCCCCCCCGCCCCTTATAGCAAAAAAACCAAAACCAAACAAACAAACCCCCAAAACACCCAACCAACCACCCAACCAAACAACCAACCAAACAGCTTAAACTCTGTTTCACGTTCAATCCAACTCGCCAAGTCCCCGCCGCGGAGCCGGGAAAGCCCGGGCAGGCAGGTGCGGCCGCACCGGCCGCTCCCAATCTGGACATTCCTCCCTGGAGCGGACCACGCTCCGAACCCGGGTCGGGGCCACGGTGGGACCCCGGCGGAAGAACGCCCGCGGCCCCTCGCCGTACCTTGTCCCGGCGGGGCAGCAGCGCCCGCTCCCCGTGCATGGCTCCGCTGGCCGGGCACGGCTGCGCGCCCCGCCCGCCCCCTCGCGGCACGGAGGCCTCGCCGCGCCGGGGAGCCGCGGAGCCGCAGCCGCACGCGTCCTGCTGGGAATCTCTAGTATTAATATAATTACCATGACTTTTGGATCCCGAGGCCCCGGTCCCAGCGCGGAGCTGGTGAGCAGCCGTGACTGCTGCCCGCACGCTCCGCTCCCGTCCCCGCGGCTCGGGGGCGAGCAGCCGGCAGCTCCCCGGCCCGTTCCACGGGAACAGCCGCCAGCTAACCCACAGCTACTGCCCAGACGCAGAACCATGTCTGTGTTTGCGAATATGCGCTTTACAAAACAAAAAATGCTGTTACAGTTAACTACCCTCTCTCTCAATTCATCATTCCATATTTAATGTAAGAAACCCTGCAAGGCTGCAACACTGGCCAGCGCCGGGGGTCAGCCAGGCTCCTTCCCATAACCCTGAGAGTCTCTGTTTGCTATCCCATCAACAGGAAAACCAGACACCTGGGAAAGCAATTGATTAACTTTCTAGAAGAGTTCAGATGCTGGAAACCACTGAATATAATTTCTCAGTCTGCTGTGACTCCTGAAATATCAGCTGCTCTCTTAGGAGGGTTTAGTTGTAGAATCCCTGGAGCTCTGGATAGATCAATGGAAAATTGGTGCTAAGAATTAGTATTAATCAGCGGGACCAACAGTATGCATGATACCACTACTGCACAGAGAACATGCTGTTTCTGAGATGCTGGGACATGCATTTGGAAGTAATTCACATTGGTGAAAATATATATTCTTGGAGTTTGTAATTTCATTATGATTTTTCCCAGGGCTGTCATTGATCAGATTTCTCCCTGTGGCCTAGATGAACACAATGACCCTGCCTGTGCAGGGCATGCCTGGCCTGGGAGCACCACCCAGCAGCCATGGCACAGCTGGTCCGTGCCTCACCAACAGAGCAGCTCCACCAACCAGCCGCCACCCCAAGAGCAGCACAGCACAAACTATCTGTGCAGCACACCAAGACAATCTTATTACTGTTAACTGCCCATGAACCGAAGGCTTCTCAATCCATTCATAACTATTTCTACCTCCTTCAGAGCAAGGACAGACATATGAAGAAAACCAGAAAGATCCACAGTTTTGATGCAAAACTTCCACAAATTAATTTACTTTAACTTTTTTTTTTTTTCATAATTGATTTTTTTCTGGGCAGTGGTAAGGCTGAGTGAGCGAGGGACTGACCCAGTGTCCCTGAACCAAAAAACTGCTCATCACCAGTTCTTCTGCAGCCCAGAGGGTCTGAGCTGAAATCTGCACAGATCAGTGTCACAGAACTTTTGGGGCTTCAAAAGAGTTTCTATCAGCTTAATTTACTCCAGGTTTGGTCTAATTAGTGTATTTACATGGAAAATTACCATAAATTACACTAATAGTACACTCTTCCTCTCATGACACGAGTTTTGTGAGAGAAAAAAATTGGCAGAAACTTTCTCTTCCTCCTTTTTAAAGTCAATTGACTTCATCAAATCTGCCCAGGTTATCTCCCTATACCTGTGGTAGAAAATTAACTAGAACGGCAGTAATAGAATAAACCATGTTGGGATAATTGCTTTATAATTACCAGCTGCGTGGATTTTATTCTGAAATAACAAAAAGGGTCCTTTCCAATTCAAATGGAAAAGACTGTGCAAAGTGCAGTTCTGGAACAGAACAGAGATAATTTAAGTACTTTGTCCATATCGACAAGCCTTTGTAAAGGGAAGGATCAGCACAAACTGTGTCCCTGGGAAATGCTGATGACTTATTATTGAATTTGAGATGATGGTCAATCTGTCCTGAAAAAACGCTGGTAAATTAAATACTATAATGATTACCGCTTGTATAAGAATAGAGGTTACAATTCAATAGTCAATCTCTCTTGCAATACAATTTTCCATTATATTGACAGTCCAGTTAAGGGGAGATGTGTGCCCTCCCACCAGGGAGGTACACTGAGAACTGCCTTGGCATTATGTCACAAACCAGATGAAATCATGTGAGGGCCTTATGCTCTCTCTCTCTCAAGATATGACCAACTTCTCAACTGTTTATGCTCTCAGGCTTTCCCTCCTGTACAAGCTTTCCAATGTCTGTTCTGCAGCACACAGCCCAAAAAAAACCACCTCATGATTCTGCCTGATTGGTGCTGCTGAAATTAAATAGAGCAGCTCTTTTAAAGGTATTTTGCCGTCCTAAAACTCCTCCAGTAAAAGCATATACCGGTCATTCACCAAGAAGATGGATTTTTGCTTTTAAACACTCAGGGCAGCTGGCCTAAGCAAACAGCAGCTTTCAGAGCAAGCCTGCTGCAAGGGGGCAACTCCTGCCTCCTCCTCCCTCCCCTTGTGAAGACTGGAGCTACACAAGTGTGACTGAACGTTGTCAAGCTACTTACAGTAAACACATACAGGGCACGAAGTGAGACAGGGATGCTCAGAGTGAGACTGCACAGCCCCACAAAGGAGCTAACAACACTTGAGGTGCCTGTGTTAGTCACCTTCCCAGTGACTGCACACCTGACTGGCAGCTAAAACTAACCATGAAAACATTCAGAAGTTGTTTTGCTTCCTTTTCCTATGTGCTAAAGGAAATACAGTCATACAGGCAGAAAATCTATGAGACTCATAGACAGTCTTAGGTTTCAGACTTCCTGTTTGGAAACACAACTCATTAACAGCATCATTAGCGCATGGCAGGTGCAGGGATGGGCACAGGGACTTGGCCAACCCCTCTACACCAGGTGGACAGATGGTCTCCAGCCTCAGGCAGGCACAGGAGAAGATACTCAAAATCTCTGATGACAGTTACAAGAGACTTGGTTTGTTAGTAAGATCTCTAATTAATGCCTTACAGGAAACAAAAGTCACAAGGGGGGGGGGAAACCCCCCACCATTCTTTGTGCCTGACCATGTCTGCAGAGTAAGAGCCCCCCAGGCCCCACTTTGTTGCAGCTGCACTAAAGCACCTAAGTGCACATTTGAATAAACGCATACAGAATCCTCAGCAGGTACAATGAAGAGATACTTACTTAATCATAAATTACTATGAGGTACCTTTAACATATTAAATTAAGTGCCATCAACAGCCACAAGTCACCTCCCTGCATGCCACCTGCAGCACATGACTCTTGCAGCACATGGGTCAAGATGGCACCAGCGCCACTCTCTCATGAGCAGTCAGTGCCCTGCTCCCCTGGATCCAACACAGTCATTGTATATGGCACAACTTACCACAGGTCCCAAAGGAAACAAAGATGTGTCACAAACTTTGCTGCCTCATCCACTTGGGTGATGCAATAAGCTCCTATGACCTACAGCTGATTGAGAATTAAGAGTTGTTTATCCAATGCTTTGTGTTTTAAAGGTTGTTATTGAATCACAAATCAGTTAGGGTTGAAAGGGACCTCTGGAGTTCACCTGGTCCAACCCCCTGCTCAGGCAGGGCCACCAAAAGCCAGTTGCCCAGGACCAGAAAGCTTTTGAGTATCTCCCAGATACTACTTTTACATCCTCCATTTGTGGATCTGTTTGTCTGCTGCAATTTTTTGCAACATTGCCATACATCTGATACCACCAACTCTATGGGTCAACTATTTATTTCTAGTTGCATATTTCTACAATTGCAAATCCTGTGCAACAGTAAGGGAGAATATTTCTGTTCATTCATCTCTCAGGTAAATACAGACAGAAGATCTAAATACTGCTGCACTGAACCATCCCTGGAGACAACTGCTCATTCACATGAGGATTCATTTACGAATCTACCTTCCACCTCCCCTCAGCAAATGCTCAGGGTGCATATATGCTCCCGCTCTACAAAACATCTGTCTTGGCTTTACTGTCAAGACAAAGAAAAAGGAAAAACAAAGAACAGTGTGATTCCTTGTGACTGCAGTTATCCTGCAAAACTGTATTGACCAATCAAATCTTCAGAAGCTGCAGCAGCTTTGCTTTTTAACACCTCCAGTTACTCAACCACAGAGACCTATGGTCATCCTTGACAGCAACTGAGCTGTCTCTAGCATGCTCCTAAAT